TAATCCCTTGTTTTTAGGAAGAGTTAGAAAATAAATACATTATTAATTACTAGTATTTATTTATATGTGCTATATTTGTAATAAAGTGTGCTATTATTGGAATAATCCAAATAGTAAAATATCACGGGCTAGCCAGTTTTTGGACCGGTCATTCAAAAACAGCTAGCGTTTGCAAAGTCATTGAAAAATAGCCACTATTTTGCTGCACCACGAAAAGTTCCAACATAATATACTGGAAATCGGTGCACCTGTGTATGAACTTCCAACATATTATGTTGGAACTCCAACACGTGGAAATGTAACAACCTGGCCGGTCGTTTCATGAGTCACAGTCCTGTTCTCCCCATTTCTGCTTCTTTATGTGTTATTCAGCTGTATTTCATCATATCGTGTTGGTTGTTCTGTGTTCGGAATGGTCATGGAGTGAAATGAGACACTTAGTCTCTTATTTGGAAGCTTTAGTTGGAAAAGTCAACCGGAAGTTGATTTGTGAGTAAATGATCTAGGAATTTGTGTTTTATGGTTCAGATAGCTTTGTTATGCGATTTGGGACTTAGGAGCTTGTTTGAAATGTAATTTGGAGGTCAGTGGTAAATTTAGGCTTGAATTGGAGAAATTGGAAATTTGGCATTTTCCGGTCGGCAGTGAAAATCTTGATATCGGGGTCGGAATGTAATTCCGAAAATTGGAGTAGGTCTGTTGTATCAAATTTGACGTGTGTGCAAAATTTCAGGTCATTCGGATGAGGTTTGATAGGTTTTGGATCGATTGCGGAATTCAGAAGTTTGAAAATCCTTAGGCTTGAATCCGAGGGTGATTTGGTGTTTCGATATCGTTTTGAGTGTTCCGAGGGTTGGTATGAGTTTGAATGACGATATGTGACTTGTTCATATTTTTGGTTGAGGTCCCGAGGGCCTCGGAATGAATTCAGAAGGTTGTCGGAAAGCTTGGTATTGAAAATCAGCAGCTTCAGCTGTTGTGTTCTGTCATAACCGCACCTGCGAATTGGGGACCGCAGGTGCGAGCTGCAGAAGCGGAAGGGTGATCGCAGAAGTGAAATTGGTCGCAGGAGCGAGGTCTGGACCGCATCTGAGAGCCCGCAGGTGTGAGACCTGGGTCACAGGTGCGGCGTCTGAAGAGTTAATAAAAAACCACATATGCAATTTAGTTGACCGCAAGTGCGGTCCATAGGAGCGAGATTTTGGCCGCAGGTGTGGAAATGCCTGGGCAGAAACTATATAAGCATCCCTTTGCGAATTTTTGCACATTTCTATCATTTTTTAAACGGGATTGGAGCTTTTGGAGGATTTTGAAGAGGAAATCAAGAGGATTCTTGTTGAGGTAAGATTTTTGAACTTAATACTTGTGTCTATAGTGAATTTCAGTTGATTAAACATGGAAATTGAAGATATTAGGGATGAAAATTGGGAAATTAGGGCTTGAAATTGGAGAGATAAAATTGGGGATTTGAGGGGCCATTTGGGGTCCGATATTGATGATTTTGGTATGTATAGACTTGTGAGAGGATAAGGATTCTAGTGTTGTGAATTTTATCGGATTCCGAGATGTGGACCCGGGGGTCGGGTTTGACCAATTTCGAGATTTTTGAGTTTATTTGATAATTTTCGCGTGGGCTTTGTTCCTTTGGCTTGTATTGATGTTATGATTCTCATTTTGGATAGATTCGGGACGATCTAAGGCCGAGTCGAGAGGCAAAGGCATTGCGGAGTAGATTTTTATCCGGTTCGAGGTAAGTAACGATTGTAAATCTAGACGTAAGGTTATGAAACCCCGAAAGTTCATACTGTTTTGATAACTGAGGTGACACACATGCTAGGTGACGGGTGTGTGGGCGTGCACCCATATGGACTGTGACTTGGTCCGTCCCGTGGCGACTGTAGAGTTGCATATTTTGATAAACTTTATATGATATCCATGTGTTTTAGAAATGAATCTGTTAACTTGGGCTGAATGTCATGTTTGGGGCCTTGTGCTGAACTGTTTGGACCCGTAGGGGTATTTAACTACTTTTCTCACACTGTTTGATTTGAAAGCATATCCCCAGTCATGATTTTTACCTGTTTATTTTGATTCAGTTTCATTACTCAACTTTTAAATATATGGAAACTGTTTGGGATGAGTTCCCTAATTTTTTACTGAAATGCACGAGTGACTGTGAGGTTGATGATTGAGAGAGGTCGAGTACTTGATTGTGAGGATTATATATACTTATGGATCGGGTTGCACGCCGCAGCGATATATATATATATTGGATCGGGCTGCACACCGCAGCAATATATTGGATCGGGCTGCACGACGCAACAATATAGCGCTTGGGCTATAGGAGCCCCTCCGGAGTCTGCACACCCCCAGTGAGCGCAGTCGACTATATATATTTACGAATCATGTTGTACGCCGTAGCGGTTACTATTATGAGATATATATTGAGCGGGAGTGCTGAGTGTGAGTACTGATTGACGAGAGTTGAGTCACGAGTGACTGAGAAGCTTTGCCCGAGGGGCTTGTTTAAGAAATTACTGTTTTCACTCTTCTTTATACTGAGCCTCTATTGAAAAATGCTAAACAAATGCTTTACAGAACTTTCATTGAAACTAAAATTTTTATGAGATATTTATTGAACTACAGATTTTGACTTTGATATTTTTATTGAGATTCTTTGATAGATTATGTATATGATTTTAAATGCTCGTTACTGCATTCAGCCTTTATTTACTTTGATTACTTACTGAGTTGGCGTACTCACGTTACTCCATGCACCTTGTGTGCAGATCCAGGTGTCAGAGCCTCCGAGTGAGAGCTGATCGTTGCCTTCAGAGTTTTATCCGGAGATTGCAAGTTAGTTGCACGGCGTTCACAGTCCTGCCTTTCTCCTTCCTATCCTTAGTATTTTATATTTCAGTTTTATCTTGTAATAAGCAGACAGTATTGGATTGTATTTAGTGGCTCATGACTAGTGATACCAGGATCGACTGGGTTGATGTACTTACGTATTTGTTTTTCGCATATTTTTGATAAATTAAAATGAAAGACTTGTGATCGTGTTTGAATTGGAAATGAATTTACAAAGACCTTTATATTGTTCGTGTTGTTTTCGGCTAGCCTACTACTGTGATAAGCGTCATCACGATCGAAGTGTTTTGGGTCGTGACAGGAAAGTTCTAGCATAATATACTGGAGATTGGAACACTTGTGTATGAACTTCCAACATATTATGCTGGATTGGTATATTATACTGGAACTCCAGTATATTATGCTGGAAATCCAGTATATTATTCTGGAGTATTTTTCGGATTTTAAACAGTATTTTCGTTCAGATTTATCTTTACATGAAAATTGGCCAAATTTCGATTACTTTTGAAACTATGACTATTTTTGAATGACCACTTGTAAATCTGGCTATTTTTAATTCACGGGCTAACCAGTTTTCGGACTGGTCATTCAAAAGTAACCAGCGTTTGCAAAGTCATTGAAAAATAGCCACGATTTTGCTGCAACACAGAAAATTCCAACATAATATACTGTAGATCGGTGCACCTGTGTATGAATTTCCAGCATATTATGCTGGAATTCCATTACGCGAAAAGATCCAGCATAATATACTGGAGATTGGAGCACCTGTGTATGAACTTCCAGCATATTATGCTGGACCGGTATATTATACTGGAACTCTAGTATATTATGATGGAATTCCAGTATATTATGCTGGAGTATTTTCCGGATTTTAACAGTGTTTTCATTTAGATTTATCTTTACATAAAAAGTGGCTAAATTTCGATTACTTTTGAAACTGTGGCTATTTTTGAATGACCACTTATAAATCCGGCTATTTTTAAATTTCTCCCATCCAAATATGGTAACATTAGTATAAATACTAGTTTATAAGAGCCCTACAATGTAAAAATCTCAGGAAGGGGAATATATGTAATCGGAGATTTGAATTTACAGTAAATTTTTATGTTGTTCAACTGGTCTTAAATCTCACAAGATCAATTTAATTTTTCTTCGATACATATGCTAGTTTAAATTTATTCATTCTGCCGCGCCTGCTTTGTATTAATTGCAGTAATAATTATTCAGTAAATTTTAGTTTGGTCCCTTAAGGATTCTATCAAATACTATAATTTTACTGTATTATTTAATATTCATTAAAGCAAAACAAATCTAAAAGGTGGAGAGTGATAATTTGAATTTTTAATTTCTTAAGGAAATAAAAACAGTGAAAGTTGACTGATTATAATCCTAGGGACAAATGATTTAAAGTTAGTCATCAAAACAAAATAATTGAAACCAACGACACTCAAATACTTTCTTCTATAGTTGCTCGATTTGTAAAGAAATTGAAAAAATAGATACTCTCTCAAACAACAGATTACATATTTATCCCTCCTAGGAAAATTTTATAAAAATAATATTCCTTCGTTTGGTTGTATGGATTAGGGAAAGTCACTTCAACCTAAAACTCTGAATGGACAAAATCGACCACGGCTTTCTTGGTCACCGACTTGAATGTCTTGGCCTCAACCCATTTGGTAAAATAATCAATGGTTACCAGAATGAACCTGTGCCCATTGGATGTTGCCGGCNTGGTTGACCATATGGGGAAAACATAGTCCTGACATAACTATTCCGCACATAAAATTCGGAACAAAATAATGTACAATTTTAGTTGGAGAGATTAGGAAAAACAATCTCCGCATAATTGATGCAGCATTTGGTTGACCATATGGGAAAAAATATAATCCTGACATAACTATTCTGCACATAAAATTCTGAACAAAATAATGTACAATTTTAGTTGGAGAGATTAGGAAAAACAATCTCCGCATAATTGATGCAACATTTGATTGACCGTATGGGAAAAAATAATCCCGACATAACTATCCTGCATAGATGGCTGTATTAAATAATACATGCATTAAATTATACGAGAATTTATGTATTTATATTATGCGAGATAACATGTGATACGAAGATAAAAGTAGAATGAACAGAGTTTATAGAGTGCATTGAAGTGGAGTTGAAGGAGAAGAAGCTAAGGAAACACTTTGCAGTTGATATTGATAATGCCTAACAATTCCAGAAATATCAAGAAAAGCATTCTGTAAACCATTGTTGACTACAGAATTACTGGTAGCAGCCTTGCCTTCAACTTTTATACCAAAGTTTTCCCAAGTGATTTATTGCTATTATATAAAAATAACAATCACAAATTAGCAAAGACACCTCAATTCCATTCTTGGTGTGATTGGCTAATGATCCATTTGATCACCTCTGAATCAACAACAACCCAGTAAACTACCACAAGTAGGGTCTGGGGGAGGGTAGTGTGTACGCCGACCTTACCCTGCCCCGGAGAAGTATAGATCCTTGACTCAAAGAAGACGAAAAGAGAAAGCACATCAGTAACAACAACAGAAGCCAAAAAAATAATATCAGCATCGTAAGAGCCGAAAATAGATGGAAAAAGCACTAATAATAACCAGCAATAATGGCTTGATCACCTCGGAATCAAATATTAGAAAAAGGTTCTCTACATATTCTATTGACCTATAAATCTCCAACAAGACTAAAATAATATAGAAAATGTAAGAACAAAAATGATAGTACCTCTCTATTGCTAAAGTAGTATGCCCATGTTTGACTTCCCACCAAAACTCTATGCTATTGAACAAACTTTAACAGAAATTTTAAGAACTAAAAAGATAAGATTTATGTCTCTCTCTTCCAATCGCAACTATGGAATGTATCGGCTTCAATGTTGTTGATCATTCTTGCTCAACTCTTTGGCTGGTGCTTAACATCTACTTTTCCGGATTTTAGTTCGTTTCTTGGTTGTCTTCTTCTCTGCTACATTTTCTATCAATAGGTCCTCTGACCGTTATTGTATGAAACAAAATGTCAAAGATATCTATGTATATGCCTTGAAGGCTTGAACTTATGCTACTAAATCAATTTTGATTAATTATCAATCAACTCATCGTTTTACTCACTCTTATCAAATACTCTAATCTTCTTCACATAGTATTGCTTTCAAGAATGCATTTCGTGCTTGATCAAATACCAATAAGCTAAGCTATACTTAGTCGAATGAAAAGTCATCCACAGTATTGAATAACAATATGTGATAAGATCGGAGCCTTCATTTAACGGGCACCTAGAGCACCAACCAGCAACAAGAACTATAGTGCTGCAGCATCTCTATTCAAATTCATCTAATCTATCTACAGAACAAGCGTAACACACTTAAATTTACAAAACAACTCACCTGCTTTAAGCAGCTCGAGCTTGTCCTCCTCCCCAGCTTACACTCCATATTTTTCAATTCTCCACTTTAATTGTCTGTCCCTGGATAGATAAATGACATGTTTGTGCTCCTCTTATAACTTCTCAAGATAAAATGCAACTGTACATGACAATGCAAGTGTGAAGCTGCGTTAACCTTCAGTAAAAGAAAACCAGCATATTCAAGACATTGTTATACATTTATCTGAGAAAACATTTTCCTTAAATTGGAGCCAAAACACAGGGAAGGATTTCATTCCTTGTGCAAATAAAAGAGCTCAAATTGAATGTGATTTCACATGAGGTTCTGTCTAAGCAGAGAGTTCAAGCATCATGAAAATTATTAAAATAGAACACAAAACTTATACATAAAAGAAAACTCCAGAGATAAACAGAGTTTCAGTTGGGAAACAAATGCCTATGAAAATGATTATTATTTCTAACTCAGATATTCTGTTATAATCATTTTCTTTTTGTCTATTCTCAATATTTCCGTGTCCTCTTCTTTTTGTGTTCGAACTCATCCCTCAGAATTGTGCTGTTACCGATGAATATTTTATAGCAGGTGAAAGGTGGTACCTAAAGAACGTTAGGAAAAGCTCAATGAAGCATCCAAAGTTCAGTCGAGTGTCATTTTCTTTTTCCATAGGTTTAGTAACACAGTAACTCCCTCCTGTAAAGTAGCTTTCTCAGCAACTTCATAATTCCACAGCTCAGAGATGATGTATCCTCCACTTGGGTTATATACATTAATCTCAGTCAAAGCAGTTGTGACAGCTTTATACACTTCCTCACCGTAAGTTTTCTTCAAGCCTTTCAGCTTTTCATCTTCATCATCAATTACAGCCTGAAACAGCATTAACAGTATAAATATGTAAAACTTCCAGTATAGAAAAGACTGGTGAATAGTAGATCCAGTGAAGTGTGTTTTGTTTATTCCGCTAATTGATTCTATTCAGAAAGTAACAAATGCATCCAATCTACATTCTTGAGTATTCAAACCTACGAATAAACTCATATATATCTTTAAATCAACTATTACAACCTGATTCGCACAACCTAGACAAAAGCTACAAACTGGAGTCTAACAGCACTGGTTGGATAATCAGGCGATTCCTATTTGTCACAGAACCAGACAACCCCTGTTGACCACACAAAACTGAAAACACTAGGTAGAAATAAAATGCAGACACTTCTGCAGCAAAACTGTTTAGAATGTTAAAGTGTATTCATAGAAACCTGGATGCTAATTACATTAAATCTTCCTAAATCAATACCAATGACTGATTAACCCTTTCACATCAATGGTGCAATATAATCCGTCCGTTATCAGCATTGAATCACAGATTTTTGACAAACTAGTATGCACAATTTCCAACAATTTCCGATAGTAGCCTATATATTTATGCCACCATTGAGGGAAAAAGAAACTAAAAATCAAGTTTCAAACAGACTGCAACAGAAGCAAGAGAAGACACACAGCATACTCCAACTATGCAGTGTCTACAAAATAGGTCACATTACACTGGTCAAGTAAATCCAATAAATTCTCACAAAATGATCAGCATTTCAAAGTATACATCTGTGGTAGAAACTAAAACAAATGGAAGCCAATCTATTTTTTGTCTTCGTACTTAGTAAAAGACTCAACGCCATGAACCAGAAGAAAAGCATACCTGATGTTTCCCATTTATGGAAATGACTTTAATGGGATGCCATTCAGGGTCTCTAAGGTACTCCTCCCACAACGAGCACAACTCAGAAGCTATCTCCTCTGCTTCTACCTCATTATATCTCCTCTTCATTGCTTCAAGAAATGGTCTGCTGTCGAGCTCTCCCATCCTCTTAACACCAATAGGACCATTTCTAGGTAATTCTTTCAAACCCTATTGAGAAATTAAACTGTCAGTTCCTCAAATCTTGTTTATCAAATGCTGAAGCCACCCAAACTCCTCAACCCCCCCAAAAGAGATTTTGAACCAGAAAGAAAAACAAAAATCAAAGAAAAAGGAATAAAAAATCCAATTTACTACCCTGTCAAATATTAAAAAGTAGATCTATAAACCATTTTGGGCTAGTAATATAATCAACACGTATCATCAAGTAGACCGAGGAGCTCACCCCACCTAAATCCTCAAAAGCACGCTACAATATGCTAGTAACAGTCCTTTTTTTTTAAATAAATATGACTATAATTACTATAGATAGACACTATCAACAATGTATAATGAAACCAGATTACTTGACATACATTAACCAATTCTTTAAGTGCTTCCTGCAGCTCATCATTGCTCTTTCGTTCTTTCACAATCAAGGTTTGGTTCAAAGCCACTAGATCTTCATATTTTTCTTCCTTTTCTCTTAAATCCATAAGCAGTGTGTCAACTTTTTGCAGAACTTCCTGATTGGCCTCTTCTTCAATCTGCTTCATAGTCACTCGCAATCGCTCCACTTCAATTTCCCCTGCTTGTTTCGCGACAAGTTGTTTCTCAAGCTTAATAATTCTCTTATGGAGTTCCTCCTTTTGTTTCTGCAGACAGCAAAATGGCACCTTAGTGATTTTTTATATACCATGGGAACTTAACAATCAAGATAACGTCAGTAACAAGCAAACGAGGAACCTGAAAACCAGACCTTCAGTTCTTCTGCCAATTTCGGTAATTTTTCATCAACATTCCTTTGCTCTTCAATCACAGCACTAAGGGAGGTTTTTAGGATAGCATTCTGGAGGAACAACAATAAGACTTCATGAAAACTATCTTCAATTCAACTAAAGGTAGGCACGTAAGGGTGCTTGGTTCCTTAGGTGACGCTCCAAAAAATTCCATCACAGGTGCTTCTCTAGAAAGCATTTTTTCCAATTAAGATGCAAATAAACAAAGAAAAGCATGCATGAAAGAACAGTGCCCGCCTAATGCCTATTACTCTTAGAGTACGAGAAGTGGAAAGTAGAAAATAAAGAAAAAGATTGGGAAGAAAATGACCTAGTTTGTAGTGTATATTTGAACGTTCAAACAATTGGTATAACCATGCATGCATTGGTTTTAACTCCGTGCTGTGAACAATAACTAGAATATTTCGAGAAAGTTTCAACTAGCACATCCATGTCTATGAGATCAAGCCATCACCAAGTTTTCAGCCTTCATAAAAAACTTAATGCTTATTATGGTTTGACAAGGAAAGAAGGTCACTGTAATCTTCTGTCCCCATTAATTTTTGCGAATGATAGATCAAACTAAAATCAGATTCAGCATAGAAACAGTTAAGCAAGTAGCAGTATACCTGTTCAAGATCTTCGGACATTTTTTTCCTATCACTTTCATTTTGGGCCTCACGTTTCTGCAATTCTGTATGTTGGAGTTCAAGCTCCTTTTTTTGAGTTTCCAATTGTAATTTTAACTTTTCATGATTAATAAATGTCTGCTGGAAATGATCACGTGAACTTGACTGGATCTTTTTTATTTCTAATCATACAAACAAGCATGTTAGGCCATCAAATACACAATATCCTGAGTTCCTAATAGGACGCATATGCAATCACAAACCTTCATTGTATGATTGACGAAGTTTAGCATTCACCACAATCAACTGTTCGACAGACTGGGAAGTCTCCTGGTATTTGTCCTCTATCATCTTTAAGTTCAACTTCTTGACTTCAATGGCATTGGTCAAACTAGAAACAAGCTTACGAGTCTTCCTAGATTCTTCTTCCATGATATTAGAAATGGTTCTAAGGTCTCCAAATTTCTGGAGCTTTTCACCAACAACATTAGTAGCCTGATAATCATCAGCTCGAGCTATCCAAGCATAAAGATCAGGCCTTTTGCCATTACTGGCTTCCCAATCCTTCTTACCATGATAGTCGGCCTCATAGGCCTTCTCAAATAATATGGCATTACTGAACCCAGACCAATCTTTCTTGAATTCAACAAGAGCAATTCCAGAATGGCCTAGGTCATTCCATAGAGTGCGCACTCGTGTTGGATTGAAACCTCTCCTTATCAACTGATCCTTCAGATTGGAACCACTTTCTCCTACATAGCGTCCATCCTTAAATTCAGTGGGAAGATTCACAACAACTGCAATCCACGGCCATACAAATATCTCAGCACGGTCATAATCTGCAAGAGTATCAACCTGAGGATCACCTAGAGTATCAGGTTTTGATGGACTGGCAGCAAGTACTACATCATTTTCGAAGTACTTGGCCAATGTAAGATGGTTAGCTTTATCTATTGCAGTTCGCTTGTTGGAGCTACAGCTTCCAACTTCCCTCACATGGAACATGAGATCCTTATACATAAACTCTCGCTTTCTTTTCTTTGGACAATAGGCAAAAGTGTAAGCCACAGCTGGTATGTTCAAAGAGTAATTTCCACTCTTCAACTTTTCATAAGGTATTGATGAACTAGCACCGCCTGCTACATCACTTGCCAAGTACTTGGCCAATGCAAGATGGTTAGCCTTATCCCTTGCAGTTCGCTTCTTAGAGTTACAGCTTCCTACTCCGCCAGCATGCTGCAAGAGATCCTTATATGAAAAATCTTTGTTTCTAGTCTCTGGACAATAGGGGCAAGCAAAAGCGACATCTGAATTGTTAAAAGAGTGATTACTCTTCATTTTTTCATAAGAAATTGATGTACTGGGAGCACTTGCTACATCATTTTCCAAATATGTGCCAAAATTTTGCAAGTGCTTGGCCAAGGCAAGATGGTTGGCCTTATCTCTTGCCGTTCGTTTCTTAGAGTCACAGCTTGCTACTCCTACTGCATGCTGCAAGAGATCTTTGTACGAAAAATCTCTGTTTCTTGTATCTGAACAATAGGCACAAGCAAAAGCCCTTTCTGATATGTTAAAAGATTGTTTCCCACTCTCCAACTCTTCATAAGCTTTCAATGGACCTGCTACATCATATTCCAAGTGCTTGACCAATGGAAGATGGTTGGCACTATCTCTTGCAGTTCGCTTCTTAGAGTTACCATTTCTTACTCCACTCGCATGCTGCAAGAGATCCTTGTATAAAAACTCTCTGTTTCTCGTCTCTGGACAATAGGCACGAGCAAAAGCCATATCTGGTATCTTAGGAGCGTGATTTCCAGTCTTCATCTCTTCATAAGATTTTGATGGACCAGCTGCACCTGCTAAATCATTTTCCATGGACTTGGCCAATGCAAGATGGTTGGCCTTATCACTTGCTGTTCGCGTTATAGAGTTACAGTTTCCCACTGAATATACATGCTGAAAGAGATCTATGTACGAAAAATCTCTGTTTCTTGTCTCTGGACAGTAGGGGCAAGCAAAAGTCATATTTGATAGCTTAAAAGAGTGATTTACATTCCTAGACTCTTCATAAGATTTTGATGAGCTGGCAGAACCGGCTACATCTTTTTCCAAGCGCTTGGCTAATGCAAGATGGTTCGCTTTATCTCTTGTAGTTCGCTTCAAAGAGTTAGAGCTTCCTATTCCATTTGCGTGCTGCAAGAGATCCTTATAAGAAAAAACTCTTTCTCTTGTCTCCGGACAATAGGGACAAGCAAAGGCCATATTTGATATCTTAAGAGAGTGATTTCCACTCCTCGAGTCTTCATAATATTTTGCTGAACAGGCAGAACCTGCTACATTATTTTCCAAGCGCTTGGACAATGCAAGATGGTTCGCCGTATCTCTTGCAGTTCGCTTCGTAGAGTTTGAGCTTCCTATTCCATTTGCATGTTGCAACAGATCCTTAAAAGAAAAACCTCTTTTTCTTGTCTCTGGACAATAGGGGCAAGCAAAAACTACATCTGATTTCCTGAAAGAGTGATTTCCACTGTTCAACTCTTTATTAGATTTTGATGGAATAGCAGCACCTGCTACATCATTTTCTAAATACTTGGCCAATGCAAGATGGTTGGCCCTATCTCTTGCAGTTCGTATTTTAGACTTTCCTATTCCACTTGCATGCTGCAAGAGATCTTCATAGAAAAGGTGGCGCCCGCTTTTCTCTTGACAATAGGGACAAGTGTAAGCCACATCTGATATCTTAAAAGATTGATTTCCACACCTCAACTCTTCATATGATTTTTCTTTATAGTCTTCAATCTCTGATTCAGTTATTTCAGCATCTTCTCCATAACAATGCTCCATTCACCAATCCTTCTTGCTATATTTGAACTTATGAGAATGGCACCTAGATATCAGAAGGCATAGCTCATCAATTGTCAGTCAAAATCAGCATCATTGACATACTTAATAAGAGAATTTGTAATTAGGTATGATTTCAGCCCCAAAAGCAACAGTCTGACTGAGAAGATCCGAATTAACCACAATATATACATGTACACACAGAGCGTGTGTGTGTGCGTGTGTGTGTGTGTGAGAGAGAGAGAGAGAACCATAAATGATCATTGACAAAACGAAGCATTAATAATGCATTTCTTGTGTTAGTTAACAAGTGACTATAGCATTCAATTTCTCGTGTCTGCTAATTGTTTATTCTGAAATTTTCATCTTGACCATTGGTAATGGATGGCTCATTGATAGGAGAACAAGAAGGTATAACTCTGTTAGAAAGTATGTGACAACAAGACCTTGACCCTGCACTTTCCTACGCAGCACTTCTCAATTCTCATCACTGCCCCTAGTGCTGAAAGCTAATAACCATAACTGTAGCTGTACCGTGTAATTATCACAGGCATTATTCTTTCAAAAAACAAATTAATTAGGTGCCCTTTAGGGGTTTCTACCATCTAAGTTGCGCGGACTCTTTGATTTTGATGCCGTCCCCGTCCCGATACGAGACCGGGACGGGAGCGGGATACGTCCCGGATACGGTCAACTGACTTCAGACACTTTGACCGGAGTCCATCGACAAATTTGGAAGAAAAATTGAGATTTTGATTTCTCAAAATAAAAAATAAAACAGATTTAGGAGAATGAAAGAATAATGTCCATCTTGGAGAGTGAAAGATTGAATTCTACAATATTCATGTAAGTTTTTCACCGAATATCTCTCAAAATTTACAATATTTTTATAGCTCTATTTTTTATTAGCAGAATCCCCGCACCCGTATCCATATCCGGATCCGCACCTCCAAATCTTAAAATTTAGATTTTGCCGAATCCGATACTCGGATCCGTCCCGTATCAGATACCCGCACCCGAGTCTAAGCAACTTAGTCTACCATACATATCCATGCGACAACCTAAAATTTATTTAACAGTGAGCTCTTGTAGTTGTGGATAGGACCAAGACATTGTGCAAACGCATGTTGTTATGGGATGTTCTCGTTTCCCAGATAAATCTTTTTCCCCAAAAAAAGTATTTTATCAACTTTGGTTACTACAAATGTAAAAAAATCCAATGAGTAATGCTATGGAAGTGAATTAAACCAACTAATCTATGACAAGACTCAAATAAGACTAGTTAAATTGGGCGAGAGCTTCGTAATACCACATACAACACCTCAATCCCAAGCTAATCAGTGTCGTCTGTATGAATTCTCATTGTCTATGTCGCTTCATTTAAACCCGCCCCAAACCAATATGTAAAATTTAGGTTATGTAACATAGGGGAGGATTTTCTTTAGCTGAGGGTCTATTGGTAACAGCCTCTCTGCCCTCTCGGGGTAGGAGTAAGGCTGCGTACATCCTACCCTCCCCATACTCCACTTGTGAGAATCCACTAGGTTGTTGTTGTTGTAACACTGGGGAGGATGTAGAGCACATATTATGGGATCATTTCTAACCCAGTAGCTTTGACACAGACTCTGTATATATGTTAAGAGATAATTAAATAAGTACATATAATATATTTCGAACCCGACAAATGGAATGAACTGTGGTAGAATCCCGATCTCGAACTCCTAAAGTTCAAATTTTGTGTCCGCCTACAATGCAACACTAGAAATTCTCCACATTTTTTACTGGCATATAAATTTCTAACAACACTAGAAATTTTTTTTTTAAAAAAAAACATATGAAAGCTATATTTTACTATGCAAGAAAGTGAAACACAATGAAGCAATAATTATCCAATTTAACTATCTTTCCTTAATTTATTGAGCACATATTAAACATCATGAAGCATGATATTATTAATCAACTTCCTTATCTTACCTCAGTTAATTAAGCACCTATAAAAATTATTAAAAAATTCATCCTATTCAAACATATTAAAGTTAAATTGGACAGATCAGCAGTAATTCTCAGGTAAATTACAACTAAAAACTTGAAAACTCACAAAACGAGTTGAAAGAAAAAAGATACCTCTTTGTCCATTGACTTGATTGAATTTCCCACTAAGCTTCAATGGGCAAAAAAATTACAGAGCAAATTTTCTTGAAAAAGAAAAAAAGGAACTGGAATCAAACGAGGTTTGTGGTAAATAGAATTAAAAGGTAAGTAATTGAGCAATTGAAATGGGTTTGATGAGCTGTAGACGAAAATGGGAAACATGCAGTGGACACAACATATAAGCAGCGGGTACAACTGCTGTCTCGATATGAATATTAATACTGTATTATATATACTTCGGGAGGGGGGATACTCCCTTCGTCCTTTTCAAATCTAGTTTTAGCAAAATAAATTAAGTCTAAGACTCCCTCCACTTTAATTTTTTTTTTTTTGGCTATTTTCACACATATTAAAAAATCTATCTTTTAGAAGTAATAAATAATAGTAAAATTTACCATATAACAAATGCTCCTCGACTATTTACTCCAAGGACAACTTTGGAAGAAAAAAAATAATTTCTTCTTGATATAGTAAAAATTACTCCCTCCGGTCCATTTTAGTTGATTTTTTGACATTTTTCTTGCGGTCCACAATATTTAATTTTTTTAGATATCAAGAAGGAATTAACTTATTTTTTTCTGAATTGACCTTGGAATAAAAAGCCTAGGAGTATTTGTTGTATTTTCAATTAACAAATTAAGTAATATGGTCAATTTTATTATTAATTAATATTATAAAATGGATTCCTTATTATGTGTAAAAGCAATCAAAAAATCGATTAAAGTGGATCGGAGAAAGTAAACGTTGTAGACAAAAAGAAAGATTAAAAAAATAATTAAAGTGGACGGAAGGGAGTAACTAATAAGTGTACTTTAGAATTTCTAGGCATTAATTACTTTTCTACCTTTACTATTACAAGAAACTATATAGTCATTAATTACATATAAGGATAATTTAAAGAGGATTAGAGGGCGTATAAATCAATTATTCTTTTGTAGGTTCAGTAAAATTCAGAAATTTCTAGCATGAATTAAAAATAAATATAAATAGAATAAAATATACAACATCTTAAAACACGCATCTTTTATCAAATTTTAAAGATCTTAAATCCGTTTGTAGGTTGCTCACTAGTCCATTGGTGGTAGGGGTGTCAATGGTTCGTTCGATCGGTCGGTTATTTTATAAAATTTATACCATATCAATTTTTCGGTTATTCTATTATGTATAATCAAAATTAAATTTTTCGAAACCGCCCCAATCATGTCGGTTTCTCTTCGGTATCGGTACAGTTCGGTAAATTTTCGGTACTTTTTTAAAATATCATATAAAGTCACTAGTAGAAGTAGAATGCAATAGTATATGTACTTTTATAGAACTTAATAAAACTCTCTAGACATTTTACAGTTTAAAAGGTGATGAATTAAAAAAATATGAAAGATGGCTAGAGTATAGATCCATCAATTATTCTACATCAGCGTAAAAAAACTAAGTAAATACAAATAAAATATAAATCACACGAGTGAAAAATATTAACCAAGCTGAGAGTCAATAACAAAGTCTATAGAAGATTAAATATACAAAAGGATAAATCTAACACATACGAAAGGAAACATATTCAATACATTGCAATTTGTTACTCATATCACTTCAATACCTTGTGTCTTTCTAGTAAATATACTGGAATAATTTAGTTTCAATAGGAGTAGCATAATAGGTTTGAGACTTAGGATTTTGAGTTTAATTACTTGTTGGCTTGTAACTGCTTCATAATTCCAAGGTCCAAGAAAAATATTTAATGTTTTATTATTTTTAAACATAATATATAAATAAAAAATTTACATTGTAAACTTACTCGGTACGATTTGGTATTTTTTTGGTTTATTTTTATAAAATAAAAATCTACCCTAATTATCGGTACGGTTATAGATTTATATAAAAACCTATAATTTTATTAAAAAACTAAAAATTGGTTCGGTACAATACGATTCGGTCGGTTTAATCGGTTTTTAAATATTCATTGACACCCCCTAATTGGTGGAATAGTAATTGAAGGGAATTGGAAGTTGTAGGGAGTAATTTTCAGGTTTGTTTTCCGAGGTCATTGTATTTATTAGGAGTAGAAAAGTAGAATTTCCCAATAACCTTGTCGTTTATTGAGTTTTTAAACGAAACGCTATACCCCATTAATTGCATTTTAACGGTCCTTTAATTCAATTCTAACTTATGCACTTTCTTCCTATGTAACTACCACACTCTCTCGTTTTATATGACCCCTTTTACCTTTTAAATTTGTTCTAGAAAAGATACTTTTCCATGTTTGAATGCTTAATTTAAATGTTCATTTAGTACTTAATTACATATTTTGTAAGAAAGTTTTACATAATGGTTGTTAGATCAACTATGTTATATGGAACAGAGTGTTGGTTAGTCAAGAACCCTCATGTCCAGGAGATAAAAGTAACAAAAATGAGGATATTGAGATAGATGTGTGAGCATACCAGGATTGATAAGATTAGAAATAAAAATATTGAGGACATGATTGGAGTAGCCTCGGTGGAAGACAAGATGCAGGAAGCGATGCTAAGATGGTTTGGGCATGTTAAGAGGAGGTAAGAGGGGTTGGCCTCGATGGGTCTGAAAAGAGGTAGAGGTAGGCCAAAGAAGTACTGGGGAGAGGTGATTAGGCAAGATTTGTTGTTGCTCCAGCTCACTAAAGATATGACCCTTGATAGGAAGGTGTGGAGGTCGAGAATTAGGGTAGAAGGTAAGTAGGTGATCATCGTATTTGTGTCTTCCCCTTTCCAATAGGATTAGTAGTTAGCCTTGTATCCTATTATTGGTAAATTTTTATTACTACATGTTGTTCATTACGTTTGTTTCTTAATATCTTATTGTTACTGCTTGTTGCTATTGCTTTCTTTTCATCTTTTCTTGAGTCGAGGGTCTTTCAGAAACAACATTTCTTTCTTCAAGGTAGGGGTGAAACCTACGTATACATTATCCTCTCCAGACCCCACTTGTGAGATTATATTGGATTTATTATTATTGTTGTCATTGTTGTCATAAAGAATTACAAGAAATATAGCTGACTCCATGTTATAACCAAAAGAGATGCATATTTTTAAGTCTTATCTGACCTAGCCTATAGTATACTTATTTTGAAAGCACTACCCGAAGGGGCGATTGCTTCAGTTTGGTAATCCTGGATCAGTTGCAGTTTAGTTTTGCAGGAAAGTTTATACTAAACTTATTGATGATGATGATTTTTTTTCTATTTCAAGAGTAGCTTTCTTTTAGTTTTTGGATACAAATTTGGTTGAAACTTTAAAAAAAAATTAAAGTTGTGTTAAAAATATTTTACCTAAAAACTGGCCCAAACTAGTTTTTTTGGAACTTGAAGAAGATATATTTTTAAAAAACTGATCAAATTTCATGAAAAAATAATATTTTAAAAATTCAAAAAGAAATATATATAAAAAATATATGCCTAGGTGGGAGCTTAGAATCTTTCAGTCATTTTCAGGAAAGATGGGGAAACAAGTAATAGAAAATGAGGAGAGAAAGTAATATTAAGAGGATAAAGTTAGCGAAGCTTCACCAACGTGAATTGTGATGGGATAAATAGGATTCCTTCATCTTTAACCAGAAAAGTCTCAAGTTTGAATTTTGGGTATGAAAAAAATCATGTTAAGGAACACTTTCCTTTTCAATGGTCTTATGCGACACGTATCCGAATATAATCAAGCTCCAATACGAGTATTGAATACCCAGTGAATAAACCCAACCCCCCCAAAAAAGGTTGACGAAGCTCGATTGTTCGACATGGTAAATATTATTTATTTCTTTGGTGAGAAAGATAATATTGCATTAAACATAACTAAAATTATTACAGAGAGGTTGATGCATGTGCATCTCCATTATAGTTGTTTGATAGTTGTCTATTACAATGATTGATCCTAGTTATCCTAATGGTGTTTTCTACCACATTAACTTCATTAGAGGTTGTGGTTTCTTGATCAGCATCATAGGTCCAAAATAGGTGTTGTTCCATGTCCACAGCTTGGTCCGGGGGTCTGCACATCGTCTTCCTATAACGAATCGTTCCTGCCTGATCCATTTGCAAAAGGTGTTGACAAAATCCGGTGGCTATTCAAAAATAATAGGTTTTGCAGCAGCTTCCATGGTGCATCCCTCCTTAGCCAAACAATCAGCCACCTCATTCCTCTCTCTGTAGGTGTGTGCAATAGTAACACTATGCAGTTGGTCCAGGAGGTGCACATGCAGTCAGCTAGTATATTAGTATAAACTATGTTGTCATTTTTTAATAGGGTAAGTACCTCTGATGCATCGACGTTTATTTCCAGCGGAACCAAATTGTGCGTATGTGCCAATTCCAGTCCATGAAATAAGGCCTTTTGTTCTACCTGGATGGTGGTGGCAGTGTCAAAATTTCCTGCAAAACCTATAATCCAATTTCCATTTGAGTCGCGTATGAGCCTCCTATACCTGCTTTATGAGTGCCCGATAATGCAGCCCCATCAGTATTTAATTTATAGTAGTTTGTTTTAGGTGATATCCATTTTATAGGTTGCATTATAGGAATTTTTTTTTCTCTATGTTTGTGGATAAGTAAGTAAATTTCAGCGCTTGATTGGTGATTAATTGAGTGGATAGGTGGTGTTGTGTACGATTAAAGTTGTGATTGTTACTAGCAATCCAAATGTGATATAATGTGTGGGAAATAAAAGTTTTACTATTGATGTTGTGAGCATGTGATTTTTGCCCTATTAGAAATACTCCTACAAAATTAAAGAAAATAGATGTTTCCCAAATTGTTTGCAATTTTATAAGATTTTTATTAATTATTTGCATTTTTGTGCACGTTTAATTTTGTTAAAATCATGAAAAAATGTCTCAAAAATGTCAAAAATATCATGCATTGCATATTAGATTTTGTGTTCGTATCTTAGGATTAATTAATTAATTAATTGCTTTATTAAAATAAAAAAATCACAAAAATATTGCTCATTTTTATATTTTAGTTTTTAATTTAGATTAATAATTTCCTCTTCATTAATTTAGGATTAAATAATTTTGTAATTATTATAAGTAGATAATTAGTTTGATTTTATAGATTTAAATTAGAATTTACTTAATTCAATTAGAGTTTTTAAAATTAAAGAAAAGAAAAAACAAAAGAAAATGGGCATGGTCTTTTTGATTTGGAAATTGGGCCAACTCAGAAGCCCATTTTCCCTTCTTATCCG